GGCGCGCCCGGGTGCTGGGGACGCCTGGAGCTGCGGAGCCGGCAGCCCGCGTCGCCGAGCACACGCCACGTCGGGTCTCGCACGGAAGCCCGCAGCGAGCACAGGTAGGACGCGCACCGGGCCGGGAGCGCCCGCCGCGGCTCTGCGGATGGCCGGCGGAGTGGACGGAGCGGAGGTCAAGGGGCTCTCCCTCCAACATGGCAACAGCCGAGCTGCAACAATGGAAGGAGCCGCGGGTTCCCGGAGGCCGGCCGAGCCGCGGACGCGGTGGCAGCGAGAGCTCCAGCCCGCGGCGCCCTGCAGGTTGCCGACTCCCGTCGCCACCCCGCACCAGCAGTTTCGGGGCGTCTCGGGCCCCCGGGCACCCCCTTCCCACTCCTTTCCCTCTCAACACACTTCCTGGCTCCCAGCTGCAAGACGATCTGAGCCAACCGATGGTTTGGGGGGGTTGTTTGTTTAAGATAAGAAATAAAAAGCAAAACCTGCCCCGGAGTGGGGGTGGTGGGGGTGGCGCTTTCTCTTGCAGTGGGTGAAAAGTCAGCATCTAGCCTGGGGAATATATACATTTTTTAGCCAGACGGAGGGCAGACTTGGCTTCTGCCTTATAAGGGTACTGCAGCACCAGGAGAAGCTGGAGCCGGGAGAGAGGGACCCTCAGGCCTGAGTTTCCGGGCCCTCCGGGGAGTCGCTGCTCTCCTGGCTGGTACTCGTCTCTCGTTCTCAGCTCCCGACAGCGGCGGCTTTGATGTTGGGGAGCAATCGCAGCAGCAGGAAGCCCAGGGGACGCTGCCAAGCTGGGGTGGGGTAGGGTGGGGAGCCAAGGGGTTTGGCAAGCTCCCGTGTTGTGAGAAGAGATTACCAATTGTATGAGGTTAGTGCACACACCCTGGTTGCCTGAGGGGGGGTGGTGTGGGGTGTGTGTGTGTGTGTGTGTGTGTGTGTGTGTGTGTGAAGAACCTGCCATTGCTCCTGCGCCTCGAGGCCCTTCGTCCCCACCCCCTTGCGGGGTCTTTGTGGCTTCCCTGTCCCAGACCCACCAGCCACGCCTGGGATGGAATCTCTATTGTCTCCTGCTGCCCTGATGTTCTCCCCTGCCCCGCCCCCCCAATTCCGTTGGGGAATTTTGTACCCTGGGCTGGCTGGCCCCAGCATGGCACCAGATTCCTGAGCACACAGCTACCCGGGCTTCCAGAAGTGAGCCAACGCTGCTCCTCCTTCTCTCTCTAAACTACCTGTCTGGGATGTGGCCAAGCAGATGTAAGCAATTTGCACTGAATTCCAACCCTGTATCAGTTGCTGAATGAAAACTTACTCCACCCCAGCACTAGGCCTTGGAAAGATATTGGGAGAGAAACGTTCCAGGGGGTGGCAAACCTGATCCCCAAATATTCCTCCTTCCCCAAGTCCAGCTGTGCATCCTACAGCAGAGAGGTTATGAGGCTTCAGAACTGCATCTCCTCCAGAGCCTGGCAGTCCCATCTGGGGTTGTGTCCATGGAAAAATGAAGTAGAGGCACATTTTATAGCTCTGCCTGGCATCTAGCATTTGAGGAGATGGGGCTGTGAGCCAGAGCCCTGGACTGCTTCTCCTTTGGCCTTTGGGTGAGCTCAAGGTTTGATTTCCATGGCTCTGAATTTACTGCTGAGTGTGCATGGGTGTGTGTGTCTGAATTTGATCAAGCTCTCAGCCCTGGCCAGAAGGGAGTTTGTGCACTTTCCTCTCCCTGGAAGCATCAGTGAGGGAGGCCCATGGGTATGCTGGGTTGAGGAAGGCTCAGTGGATCTGGGGCCTCAGGATTTTCTCTGGGGTGCTCCTTTGGGACTGCCCAGTGACCTGGAATGTTTTGGTCTTTGCCATGACATAGTGGCCCTCCAGCAGACACCCCACAGCCTTGTGGGCCTTTGGTCCCCTTTCTGGTTTCCTCACGGTACCTGGCCCGGTGCTTTGCAGGTACCTCGTGTATGGTCCTTCAGCCTGGACAGCCATGCCACAGCCAGCAGGGAGGAAAATGAGAGAACTGTGTTCCCTTGGAGGGGTTTGTGGCTGGCCATAAACTTCAGGCTCCTTGCGCTCCCAGGATGTGAACTTGGACATGATAATGTGGAGTAGTAGAGAAAATAGTGGGTGGGTTTGGGGTCAGGAGGCTTGGCTTTGAGTCCCGGTATGACTTACTTCCTAGCTGTGTGAGCATGGACAACTTATGAACCTAAGACTTAGTTTGCATATCTGTAAAATGGGGGGAAATACCCTTGGCTCACAAGATTGCTTTAAAGATGAAATACACTGCTTACCATAAACTGAATAAAATCATGTGTGCAAAAGCACTCTGGAAACTGCAGAGTACTATACCAATGTGTGTAGCCTTGCAACAAGGGAGGGAGAGCTGGTGGGGGTTGGGAAAGGGGTGGGAGAAAGGGACAGAATAGAGAATGTTCTGGAACATAGGACAAGGGAAGCATGATGTGCAGATACCAAGGTAGCTATTTCTTGGGTTACTTTTCTTTTTTGGGGGGGGAATTACTTCTCTTTAAAAAGGGTTGGCAGGATGGGAGCTAGGAGAGAAGGAGACGCTGCTTAATGATATCTGTAGGGAAGTGGGGAAACACCCCCCAAAGGCGGGCTACTGTCCATAGACAGGGTAGTGCTGAGCTGGCAGATAATATAATAGCTAACATTTACTGATGTCAATCAGCTAGTAAATGACAGAGGAGGGATTTGATGGAGGCTGTTTCATTCCAGATCCTGTGCTCATAACCTCGATGCCACTGTGAGGATGATATCAGGTCTTGGGAGGACGGAAAGGGGTAGCAGAGTACAGAATTCATGCATACTGGATTCCCTGACTTGAACGCCCGTGACAAGTCACCAGACTGGGACAGTCCTTGGATAATAAAGTGCTCTGGGGACCTGGGTGGCTCAGTCGTTAAGCATCTGCCTTCGGCTCAGGTCATGATCCCAGGGTCCTGGGATCGAGCCCTGCATCGGGCTCCCTGCTCAGCAGGAAGCCTGCTTGTCCCTCTCCCACTCCCCCTGCTGTGTCTCTCTTTCTGTCAAATAAATAAAATCTTAAAAAAAAAAGTTCTCAAGGGCCGGGGCCCAGCATAGCACCTCCTTAATTCCCAGGTGTTTGGGGGTCAAGGCACATGTATGTGAATTCCTTGGGTTCCTGCCTTACCGGCCTTTCTCTGCTTTCCCATTCATATCCCTACCTCAGTGTAAGGAGAAGAGTGGGGGTAATCAAATCAAGTAATTTTGCTCCCTTCTGGGCAACATTAATAAGAGGTTTGGGACTTGCGGTACTCTGGAAAATTGAGGCAAATCTTTCATTTTAGTATTTCTATATGTGCTTCATTTTGTGTCTGTTTTATAAAATGAAACTTAGGAGACTGTTATTCTTGCACATCCTATGACCCCATAAGGCTTTAGAACTGGAAAGGACTTTGGAGATCATTTCCCTGAGGAGGAGTGACTCTCCCAAGGTCACACAGTTACTAGTGGTGGTGGAACTTTACCCTTGCCCCCTAGATCACAATATGACCAATGACAGGACCTATCTTTTGGCCCTTCACAACCGTGTGCAGACCCTGCCCGTGACTTCATTGTTGGGGAATTCACTCCCTCCAAACTCCTATGTTGGTTAAAGACCTTAAGGACACATAAGACACTGTTTGTGCTGCAGGGCAGAGGCCCTCAAGGTCAGGAGAAGGAAGAGGAAAGAGGTTCTCAATATTCCTGAGGCAGAACACAGAACCTGTGGCTAAAGGAATCCAGCAATTCCTTCCTTCCTCTGGGAATACTTCCCATAGGAAGTC